AAAAAAAAGTTTTATATGGTTCTAGTAATATTTCCTAATTTTCATTGGATTTGAGCTAAATACCCAAAAAGATAAAGCAACATAACGAAAATTGTAGAGCAAAAGCATTAAACTGAGGTTCATACAGATTTTATGGGTTCATTTGAAATTTAATTGGTAATGAAATAAGTTTTGTGAGAACTTTTTTTTATATAAAGATTATGAGAGCTATTTTTTTTTTTTTTTTGCTAACCAAGATTATGAGAACTTATCGAATAAATTACGTCGCAATAACATTAAGTGGGAATCATACGAATCGAAAATACTTAAGAATATAATAGTAAAGTTGCAAAAAGAAAAGAATATAATTAAAAAGATAAAAGCTTGAAGGAGAAGAGGAGAATAAAATTTTGTTGAACAAAAGGCAAAACATTACGAATTATTTACGGAAAAGATAGGACTTTCGGGAGAATCTTGGCTCTCAACCAGACCTTAATTCTTCTTTTCAACTCCATTTTTCAACTCTTTTGACTTGATTCTCACATGAAGTGGATTCACAATAACAATTATTATTATTATTTCATCGAAAAAAAACACGTACTATTGTATTTATCCAATAGATTTATATTTATGTCATATAAAACATGCAATCTATCCATCTATTATACTGGAATTTTATATAAAAAGGTAGAAAAAAATATAGGCAAGTTGGACCCAAGGACGTTAAAAAACGCTCAACGTTATTCTTGTTCTTCAAAGGAGTGTGGTTACATTTAAAACGTGTCGTATTCTCATTTGATTACTAAGCAAGTGGAATACAACTAGAGTGCTCCAATTTATTAACTGTGAAATAAGTAACGAACGAATGTTATCTTCTCTGTCTGAAAATCAGCAGCAAAAGGTCCGATAAAGCTCACGTGTAACTTCCTCATTAGTAATTTTAGTCGTTACCTACTTTTGTCTCACCGTCCATAATTTTGCATTATATAAGTATTCGGTGACATACCTAAGTGACTAAATGGAGTATAATATTGATCTTCTGAAAGATACTAACAAAATAGTTTCAGAAGATTG